CGAGGAGTATCTCAAATTTTGGTATTCTTAGAACAAGAGTTGGTTATAATATTTTTTCTTGATAAAGATCAAATCATTAGTTCATAGGCAATGCCAATTATTGTTAATTTACTACTATATTATGTATGTTATGTTATTTCTATGAATGCACATGAAAGGTTTATGTTGTGATCTATTCAATTATTTTTGTTTTAAAAAAAGACCTCCCACTTGAATTAGCAAGACGTTTGCTGTATTGGGATCACCACATGAGGTTCCTGTTTGGGGTTTGACAAATAAAAAAAAGATACAAACAAAAAAAAAATCCATAAAGCTTTCATCAGGCAAATATTTTAAAAATGTCTAGATTTCTAAAATTTCCACATTTACAAACTGGCTTAATTCGTAAATTCATATGATGGCACATTTCTGGAATAGAGTCTAAAACCCTGGATGGAGATTTTATTTCAAGGTTTTCGTTGTTTTGTGTTGATGCAAAATAATTTTATGGTAAAAATTTCTGAAGCATTAGCTATGGATATGGATGTCATTAAAGCAAGAATTTTGCATCTTGATTTCCTTGCCTCTGCTGGAATGAACTTCTTATAAATTTGTATGAGAACAGAAAGTTACACAATCTGAAATTAACCCTGCATGAAGTATAATAAACTCAATCAGGATTGTGTTTAATTCTATCTTTATTCTATAAAGAAATATTTAATTGATTTATATTCCACTAAAGTGTGCTTTATGCATTTTCTACTGTAAGAAAAAAATCAGTATACCAACAAAATGGTTGCATAGATATAGTTGTAATTTAGTTTTACAGTTGTAATATGTTAATCTGTTTGAATGGGGTTCCTCTACTCCCCTGTAGAAACCAAAATCGGTGTTTGGTCTTTTTCCCTGTGTGTCAGCCATCTTGACTTTTTTTTTGCCATTGCAATGATTTTTTGTTTTTGTGCATGTGGGATGATGCAATAGCTTCCACTAGATTGGACTGTATGCAAGGCCCAGAATTGAAGGCATGTAAATGGAAAGAAACAGCTGCACACTGTAGTGATCACTCTGCATGAAAGGGTTAATAATATCACATCAGCTTCATGATCTGTGCTCCTTTTTATATATTTTACATCCAGGTGAAACAATAACATAGCTGTGTGTCTTTGACCCTTAACAGCCCGCTCAGTGTGGACTGGACCTGAGACACGTGACGGTTATTGAGCTTGTTGGGATCTACCCGGCACAAGTTGGACGAATTGGGTACAGACTTCTAACGCCTGCACTGGCCCTGCAGCTCAGGTACTAAAACACTTTACACACACCTGCACACCCTGTTGTATAACTTCAGCTAACATGACTTTTTTTTTTTTATCCTTCCTTCTTGCTAACTGATGTGTTTCCTAGGTTACTGCTCAGGATCCCTCAGAGATCATTCCAAATGGTGCTGGTGGACAAACAAGGCATTGACAAGCAGCGCTATCCATTCCCCATCACAGCAGCTGAATTATTCACCACAATCGACACATTCCCCCTCCGTAAGGACGAGATGGTGTTACAGCGGGAGGCGGGTCAGACCTGTCAGTAGTAAAATAGGAGAGCCCATTCATGGAGCATTGATCTTTTTTTTTTCCACAGACAGCTCAGATCATCATTTTCCACCCATATGTCACACACTCCTCTTTCAACTCCTGCCGTATCCATGAGTTTCTTTGTGTTTGTGTGTGTGCGCGAGGGGGGTGTATGTGTATCTGTGTGTCATCAAAGATATCTGCCAAGTTGCTGATCTGAGGCTGGTCTGAACAGATCACGCAGTGTAATCTAGTCACATTGATTCATCTGTGTCATATTGTCATGTTGTATCTTATTTTTTATACATTTTCAGAGCAGAAATATGTTTTACTATTTTGTAAAAAGTAATGTTTGGAGAATTTCTATCCATTCGAATATTTATATCTTACATCTTACTTTTCGCTGTAATTTGAATCTATAAAACTAATTAAAAAAATGAGTAATGCAGAGGTTGTGCTTCTTGGTGGCAATGTTTGTGAGTCAGTTTGGTTTATTTCTGGGGAGAAATCTTCGTCATCTTGATGTCATTCCAGTCCATTTATTTGAAAGATGATTGTGTTTGACTCAGAGATGCACCATAGTTTAAATGGACATGCTCTGTGGTTGGGATAAACACACATTTGTTAAATGCTCTGCTTTTCATTGCAAGGTCATTGCAGTGTCTTGCAAAAGTATTGAAACAATACACCAACAACCTTTTAACATTTTGTCGCATTACATTACAACCAAAAAATTCAATGAACTCTACACAGTGACATCAATGAACTTCAGTACTGAAATAATAAATTAGATCCACAGTTTGATTTATGTCTGGCTTTGAATAGGCCAGTTCAAAAGAGATAGCCTAAAAACGGAGACTTGATACAATCCAAAACTGAATTTCAACGGTTAAAACTAAACCTGAACTAATAAATGAAATGCATATATTTGAAAATCAATTCCATTAAACTGGATCTGAGTTTAATGGGATAAAATTGAAATGATCAGCTTTAAAGGAAAAGTCCAGTCAGCAAGGAATGATCAATGGATCATTATCTATAACTAAAACTAATATGTTCCTGGTGATTTGATTAATTTAACGTTAAAAACATATTAAAAAAATAAAAATTGTAATTTTCATTGCGATCACTGAGTCCGGGAGTGGACATTTTTGAGCAAATATAGTAACACCTCACTCCTGACATCTTCAGGCTGTGACGTCAGTGCAGTAAGCTGAAGGCCATTCTCCCCGTTTTACATGCAAAATCAATGCAAACTACTAGATAAGCCTGCAACAAACATGATTTAAGATTTTGAGAGGACTTCACCATTGAAATTCGTGAGAGCTATAGTTACACTGACAATGCCCACATGCATGGCAGTTGGATGTTATAATACAACGTGTAAAAGTGGAAAAAAAATGTATTTCACCTTTCCGATTCATGATCCTCCACGGACGGGTTACTGCGGTCCTGGTCGTTAGATTGCCAACTTGAAGAGCGAGGATTTCACATAAACTTCTTGCTAGAGAAAAAACATGTCACATGTAGTCAACATTTCGAGGAATAATGTTTTCAAGATGACTAAGATTATACACCGTTGTGACAAACACCAGATACAGCAGTGGGACTTGCTCAACAGCCAATACGGCACCTAGACATCACCGACCAGTAGGTGGCAGTAGTGCTCTTTGACAAACATGGTCTCCTGTAAAGCACATTCAAATGAAATTACTCTTAATTAAAAACACTTATCATTAATTGTACGGTATGTAATAATTTTATATTTTAAAGTACTTTCATAAGTTAGAATTCTGAATATGACCGGCCTTTTACTTAAAATTGTATTATATTGCATATATATATATATATATATATATATATATATATATATATATATATATATAGGGGTTGACTGGCGCTTATTGGGGCATTGTACCCAATCTCTAGTGGGGGGGATTGGTGTTAACTCCCTTCTGACCCTGGGTCCTGGTTCCCCCATGCAAGAACAATGGTTTTGTATCTCGTCAATTTTTAAGTTGTGAGAGCAGTTGTTATTTGTGGATAATGGAGCATTGAATTACTAGTGGTTTCACAGTGAGTTTGGCCTGTGGGTTTATAAAGTGACCATTTCTCCTACAGAAATTCAAAGGAATAAATTAATAGGAGTTTCTTTCATGCTACATTTTTATCTCGTACTGCCGCTCTTCTATAAAGTTCCTGGAGCTCATGGATTGCACATAAAAAATAGGGGGGAAAAAACTCCCAACATAATCAACAAAGTCTTCTAGGCGAATGGCCATGTTGTGCAGTACACTTTACATTTTCATAGGATGAGATGAAGAGTGTTCAGACCTTTTAAAACTTAAATATTTTAAAAAGCTCCTTCCCAACTTGACCCTTGAGCTTTCTGCTTTATTCCCTGGTCTTCCTGTTGCTGCCTCTGCTCTTGTGATCTGTAACAAACCTCACAGACCTTCCCAGTGTACCTGGATCTATATTGTGTTAAAACTCTTGAGTAAAACAGGCGGATTCTATTTATTAGACGACCTCTGGAGGTGGGCAGTATGCTGGGCAGATTTCAGTTCAGGTTTTATTAAGTTTTTCTTTCAACTTTATACTAATAGAGCTAGAGTGAACATTGCTGTGGATATATTTTCCTACCTTGTACTAGCAGAAAGCAATAACGCATTTGCAGAACAAAACAAGTTTCTATCAGGAGGCTTGTTTTGATTTTGAATGCCACATTTTATTCTATTGTAATCTATTTACTTTTTTTTTTATACAGGTAAACTATTTTATACAGGTAATCTATTTTATTTTTAGACATTAATTTTTAAGAAAGACGTGTTTGAAAAAACAAAAGCAAGGCACAAAAGAAAATTTGTCTTGTTATTTTAGAAATATAAATTGTCCTAAATGAATCAGGTGTCCATAGATTCAGAGTACTTAATGAAATATGAGAGCTGGACTAAAGGAAAGGTATAAGGATAGCTAAGGCGGAAGCTGTCCAAGAACAGCTTTATGGATGAAAATGTACGTATGCATGAGTTCAGGTTAGAAGTTCAGGTAAAACAAATATCAAAGATATCAATTATTTAAGAGCAGGCACAGCTATAGCTTTATATTCTAGATTTTGTTTGACTTAAGCTAAAAAAAAAAAAAAGGTTGGTGTGCTTTTTCTACAAAGGCTGGTTGTAGCTGAATGATCTTCTTGGTGTGAGAAAATGAATCCCATTTTTTTGTTAAATGACTAATGCATGCTTTTAACCAGTATTCATTGTGTGCAGGGAAGCAGGAAAATATCTAGAACTAAAGAAAGACTTTTTCACACCACATTTCTTAGGGCCTAGGCCTAGAAGAAGTGTTTTTCTTTTACTGAACCTTTGTCTAAATCCGTTTGTTTAAATCATATGTCTAATAACAAAACAAACAAGCAGAAATCAATTGGAAATTGTTTAATATCAGTAATATTCTCATTAAACAATAAAACAATTATATAGTCTATGGAAAGATGCATTTGTTTCAAAATATTCTTGAAGCACATTTCAGAGAAAATAAGGTTGAGGAGTGAGTTTTAATGGTCAAAACCAGACAAAACAGAAAGGGTACATGCGGCACAGAAAGGGTTTCCTCTGTATTGAGAAACTGCATGATCTTTTTTGGTCATGCGAAATGGTCAGCACATGAATTATGGGTATTATTACTTCATATCTCTAACTGGGAGTTTAGAGCAGATGATTTACAGAGACCCGGAGAATATAACTGGCATTTTACATGAGATGTCAAATTTCATAAAGGTTTTATATTCAGCAGTCATCACAGGACAAATGATCGCAGCAATGACAAGGTCACCGTCTGACTATCTGTGGCTCACTATCGGCCCCCCCTCCCTGAGATAATGGCTGCTCACGTCGGTGCTGACTCACTCTGTAACACACAGACCCGGCTCAGGGTTCCTGAGAACACTGCAGATCACACTTTCTCCTCTAGGTGTAAAGTGATAGCAGCATCAGTGCTTTATGTAGCTTTTTTGTGTTTATACCTTGATATGCAATTCATATGAACACACTGATACAGTGTTATGTAAATTTACAAAGAAGCTGGTCTAAATGTTCTAATCAGACAAGAGTTTGTGCCACATTTGATATATTGTCATTAAACCAGAGGGGAAAAGCAGCCAACCTCAATGTATTTACAGACATGGTGGTTTCTAAACCACTATTAATTCAATTATAAAGCGTATAAAAGAGACAAAATAACAGCCAGCTAAAGCACAGAAACCTATTTAAGGAAAGGCTCATGTCCAGTTATTTCAGCCTGCAGATAATTTTAATTAACAACAACAATAACAATAATTTAACTTTATTGATGTCACATTGAAGAAATTTACCTCTGCATTTAACCCATCCCCTTTGGGGAGCAGTGAGCTGCCATCATGGGGCATCCGGGGAGTAATCAGAGTGGGCTCGGTGCCCAGAGTGGCAGTCTGTGGGAGTGGGACTCGAACTCAGAACCTCAGGGTTCCAAGCCCTACACCACTCCCTCCTAATTGACTGTGTTTACATCTTTATTTACAGCATGGAGCACTTCTTAATTAGCATTAAGGGTAAATAAATGGATGGAAGTCATAGAGGGAAAGGGAAAGTCACCCTCTCTGGTTCATGGTTTGATGCCACTGTTACATGGGTATCTTTTATTATGTGTCCTCTTTCAAAAGGCCTTGCTGCTTTTCCCCTCATTATGCAGTTCTGGCAATGATCTATATCTATATTTATAAGCAACTTGGCTTGGTTGCCAAAAAAGGGAATGTTCACATACATTATTGACCAATGCCTCCTCTAGTACAACTTTAAACGCCTCAATTAGCAGCTACTACATGCAGAAACGGCCCACAGATGAGACGAGAACAGAGACATCGGGGATCACCATGTGCTTATCTAGAAGTTACAGTAAGTTAAATACGAACAGCAGTAAACGGTAGCAGTGTTTGGTCAAGACAGATGCTTGGGGAGAAAAGTGGTGGATGTGTTGGTGAGTCAGTAAGGCATGACCGGCTGTGGGGGGCAGGAGAGGACATCTGAGCAAGAAGGAAAGTACAGAGGGAGATGGTCTCATTAAAGTCACTGTTTGCTTTTCTTCTCGACCGATTTGCCTCTCCAGCTTACTCCCCATAACTTCAAACCACTTCCTTCGCTTTCCTCCCTGTAATCCACCTTTGCAGTTGTGCTTCAGTTAAGGTTCATGTGTTGCACTTGCGCATGCTTGACCGCAGCATCAGAGTACACTCTTGAGGTACCTCTGGGTTTTCAACCATTCGTTGCCAAACCTCCTTTTCTTCCCCATAGGAGTCCATCCAATCCACCTCTTTCCCATAGCTTTTTCCTTTAAGAAAATGAGACAAACACAAATATTTGTTTTTTTAGTTTGTTAGAATACAACAAATGGCTCCTGAGAATGTTCTAGTCTCGTTGGGTTTAGCATCATTAGCATATATAAAAATATAAATATTGATAATGGCTATGATTATCATAAAGCTATGCAAAGTTTAAGATGTTTTAAAGTGATGTTTGAAAATATCCTAGTTTAGATCATCAAAAAGTCAAATATATATATATATATATATATATATATATATATATATATATATATATATATATATATAAGATATGTGCCCGCTAACATTTACTGTAAGAGTATTCAGTCCTATAAAATGTAATCAGTTTAATCACACTTAAGTCACTTCACCATCAAAAGCCGTAATGTATCTTAAAAGGATTTTAAATGAAGACAAATATATTTAGAAATTTGGAGTGAAAGGAAAATTACAAGTTTTCTTTTTTTTTATTTACAAGCGGTATTCAGAACATTTTACTGTAATAAACACTCAATGAACTTTGTGCAGATGTACCTTTTTAGATTACTTGCAAAAAGCATTGTTTAACACCAAATGTACAAAGATGCTTATCTATGTATGTCATTAATAAGCAGTCTGATCTGATCTTAAAATGGATGAGGTTATGTTAAGCTTAATCCTTCACCCAAAAAAAAAAAAAAGCAGACAGAGCTACAAGCGTATACTTTAGACCAAAGCTTACCTATTTGTTAGAATTGAAACAGTATTTTTCAAAGAATTGGAAAATATTCTTAAAAACCAAGTGGCTGGATGTCTCAAGGGGTTGAATATAGGTATTTTCTTCAGTCTAAAACCCATATATCCACAAATGTTTAAGTGAATAATGTCATAATATATAAAAAAGCTCCAGTTGTGTGAGAACGTTTGCAAACCAGTTTACAAGCCTTCCTTATAACCTGTTACTTTGTTCCCCTACCTGACCCAGCTCCCAGCCTGACTCCTCCCAGGAACACGTTGCTGGACAAAGCCTCTTTGTCCCACACAGTCAGCTCAAGGCAGATGTTGTCTAGGTCTCCATCCTGCAGGCCACAGTAGGTGAAGGTGTGGTTCCACTGTGGGTTCACGGTGCGTCGCTCCACCGCTGTTTTGTGCTTGGTAGACTTGTTATTGTCTGGTAGGAGGTACCTAGCACAAAAAGTTTACAAATTATCCTTAACCTACTGTGTGTTGCATGAAGAGCTGCTAAATAATTAAATCTTAATGCAAATACTCTCAAAATGCAAAATAAACAGGGCAAAAATATTATCTGTAAAAAAACAATTGAAGAACACAATAAATAAAATTTGACTATTAAGAAATGCAGAAACAAGGTCACATACAAGCAAAGCTTAGTGAATAAGAAGAACCATAAAGAAGTCAGAAATATTTGCATCTTCCTTTGAATTGGATTTTGGACAGGATTGTCCAGATTTTTAATCTGATAAAGCCAGGATCATTAATAATTATAACTTAATGAAACCTTGACAAGATTTTCTAAATGTTACAATAAATTATCAACATTTAATGACAGTAACAGTCAATTATTTTATATTCATCCGTTATACATGATAATTTTTTTACCTATTAGTAAATGGAACAGCATTTTTTTTTCCTTCAAACTTCCCAAACTCTGACGGGACTCTCATCTCACCCTTTCACAAATGGATCCGATGTGCCTCCAGACTTGACAGCAGTCAGATTTTTGGCCCCTTTGACCAACAGCTCAACCATGCCCCCTTTAGGCAGCATAAAACTGCTCGTCTTCTTGCCTTTGAGGAAGCTTTTCTTCACTGTAAACGGGTGAGAAAAGAAAGAGAATAATAAACATTTGTCAGCACACATGTATTTGGAGTAGCACCTCACAGGCTTAAAAGTGTTGGGAGTAAAAAGCCGTATGTTTAAAAGATTTGAACCAAGGCAAGAGGAAGTTCCCCTTGTAGGTGTTGACAACTGGAAAATTAGCTGTAAATAAACCAAAACACGCAAACAGAAATGTTCTCGAGAACTCTCAGAGGGTTCAACACTTCTGCACCTTAAAGACCAAAACTAAAAATGCATTCACACAAACAATGTGTGAATTAAATAAATATTTCAAAGGCTTTAATAGCCCACTGAGAAATTAGAATGGTGAAAAGTATTACTCAGTTGGTTTGTAACATAGAATAAAAAAGAAATTTCTTGGATTCCTCGTCAGTTCATATAAAAACATTCAGCCTCTGAATGACCAAGAGCAACCTTAAACCTTAATACTAATCAGAGCTGTGGGAGTGATGGCTGTCTGGAGGAATAAATCAAAGGATGACTGTGGCAGATGGCATCCAGTGGTGTTAAGGATGGAATAATACCTCCATTATTAAGTGCAGACAGCATGGTGGATTGTGTCATAACCACTGAGCCTTTTTACATTTAAAAAGAGATTTGAATTTGAAGATGTTTGGGATTAACAAGTTAAACTGCTTATAAATGTTCTGCTCAGTTTGACATATACCAGTTTTTACCCAGCTTACTCACACATTGCAGTTTAAACCAATCAGATAAATCGATCTTGTTACAAAGAAATTCTAGAGGTTAAGGTAAACAAGCAATACCTGAAGAAGTTTTTTGTTCAATCTGAATGAGCTTTTCTTTAATTAATTTTAAGGCTTGGTAATTTTTTTGTAAAGTAGAAGGAACTCTTTTTATCTGAATAAGTGCGTTCACTTTGATTATTGGTAATAATTTGGCCTTTAAGACATACCCTTAAAACTTTTAATGGAAGCATGTTCTTTATATTGAACTTTACATACACATAACTTCAAGTGATAGAAAAAGTAAAGAAAATGTAAAAAAAAATCTTAAATGTTAGAATGAAATACCAATTGTAAAAGCTGGAAAGTTGACTTTTTTAGGTCTGACAGACGTTATCGGGGAAGCAGCCATTGTCAGATTCATAGTTAAAATAAGTTCCATACAGCGTCTCACAGCATCTACTTGACCCAAAACATTGCATAACACAATAATTGATTATAAAAATGAATGGTCTGTGGCAGTGGAGGCTGGCCAATAGAGGGCAAAAGTGCACCTCCCCACCCACCCGATGACCTTTATTAACATATAAAAAGACAAATAAAAATGTCATTATTAAAATTAAGTATTTCAAAATATATGAATATATTTATTACATGCGCAAGATAAATATTTAAACTTAAATGACGATAAAAGCTGTTTCCTTTATTATTGGACCGGTGACGTATTTCCGCCCTAGGGCACAAAAATCTTTTGCCATCGTCTCTTTATAAAAGTTGTACTGTACATGCACAGTAGCTCTTCTGCAATGCAAAAGGCTGGGAGAGTTTGGGAACCAGGGGAGCTGCGCCCCCCGAGCTGACAGGAGCTGTTGTCACAGTCATAGTGTGGCTGGCTGACAGGTCGAGTCACGGGAGTGAAATCCCGTTAGCAGGCATCCCCAACCTCGGTCCTCGAGGCCCGCTGTTCTGCATGTTTTAGAGGTTGCCTTTCTCCAGCACAGCTGATTATAATAATTGTATTAGACCAAAAGCCTGTTAATCAGCTTTCAATTAAAATGAGCTGTGCTGGAGCAAGGAAACCTCTAAAACCTGCAGGACAGCGGACCTCGAGGACCGAGGTTGGGGCTGCCTGCCTTAAAGCAAGCCTACCAAGAGAAGCTGGAGATGAAATCGTTTGGACCTGATCAGCCGAACATCAAAATCAATCAAAGTCCAAAGACAGAGGAGATGGTACACTCTGTCTTTTTCCAGGACCTGGTTTAGCTACAAGGCTTGGCTAACTGCATGCAGCGAGGCTAATGCTTTATTCTGCTTTCCCTGCCTCCTTTTTCAAATGTCAGGATCTGACCCAGCATGGAAAAACAAAGGAAGGACTGATTTAAAGCACTTTTTAGAAAAGGCAAAGAAGCATGAACAATCTGGGATTGACATGGAAAATAATATAGTGTATTTTTTCTAAATGTTAATTTTTGGTATATATTTAAAAAAAATACAGCTGACTAATAGCTTCTCCATTATTAAACTAGCAAATATTTTTTTTAGGTTTGTGACACAATATTGGACAATGCAAAACACAGATTTGTCTTCAAAAAACCTCAGAAGGGCAAGAGTTGTGTACAAAAAGTAAACCTAGAATAGAAGAGAATAAAATAGAATAGAAAATCTCTTTATTGTCCCACAATGGGGAAAATCCTGGTGTTACAGCAAAAGAAAGATAACAAAAGTGGTAACACAAATGTTGACCTTAGAAAAGTATATAAAAATAACATAATAGTAAGGAGTTTAAAAAAATGTAAGAAACAAATAACATTCTGTACTGTAAATTATTTTTACAATATAAATACTTTGCACCAGGAGAATAAATAACCAATATACAACCGTGGACCTGCACATGAACTTTTTTATAATATTTTTTGTTTTTGGCATTCATATAAATATACTGACACGATAACTTAGTTAACGTTTGATTGGTTGTTAGCATATGTCTATTATGAATTTATAGCCCCCCCTGGAGAAAACTCCACCAGCCACCACTGGTCTGTGGCATCCTAGACTATTTATTTGTATTATGGTATGACTCCAATTTTGGAACATGGCAGTTTAATCCTGATAAAATATAGTTTTTTTTCTAAGGGGATTCTAAGGGGAGCAAAAGCCAAAAGACGTGGAGGTTATACTTGAGCAAAAATAATTTGCGTGCAAAATGTTCTCAGGTGGAGGAAATACATAACGTTTCAGCTTCTATTTATAGACAGCGATTGGAGTTTGTGCAGGTGCAAATGCTACTAAACAGAAAAAAACAATCATTGCACTGTAAGTATAAAAAAAAAGTTTGAGTTGTGTTTTGTCCATTGCATTTAAATGACCAAAACTTAACTTTTCCTCAACAGACATGAAGATGACACACTGGTGTGAAATATTTTCAAAATTTTAGCCATTGGATCCAATGATCTAGTAGTAATTTTGTGAATACAATCAGAGACAAATTTAGATTTTTGTTTTACCTTTAATATCTATGAATCTATTTTCCCACACTTAGAAATATGGTTACATTATGAACTTGGCAGGAGGAAAGATAAGGCAGCCAAGTAGAGAATATAATCTCAGCTGTTTTTCTTTGGCTCTGCAATAATTGGTGATGAAAGGAGAGCAAGTAAAGACAACTTTTTTAATAGTGACTTATTGGATCAGGTGGAAATGAGTGGTTAATAATAGCTCAGACAGGGTTGGAAAAAATTTGTGTCCATGCTTGTTAAAAACGATCGGCTCGCTGGTGGGTTACTCATTATTATAAACTCATGCTGTGCTGCCAAACACTGTTCTCACCCTTCCTTTAATAGTTCAGTGACAAACTTCCAGACTTAAAAAAAAAAAAAAAAACAGAACACAGCTAACTATTTCAAATGAATAAGAAATATAAACCCAAACTTTTATAAGTTGCAGTCCTGGTTAAAGGTTTGCATGAATTTATCATGGGCACAGATGCTAAATCAGTTGTTGGGTTTTATTGCTTTGTTTTACCATTTTGTTTTTCTAGGAGAAAACGTTCTCAAGTGTGAATGAATATTAAATAATTTGCTTCTTTCCGCACTGAGTAAAAATTATACATAGTTGGTTAGATTTCCCTTTGCAAACTGGTATAATTCTGTAGTAGTCTGGTAGCTCACCACCATCAACTTATGAATGTGTGTGTAAATGGGATGATTGACGGAAGGTAGTGTGAAACTCTTTGCTGTCCTTCAATCTTTTGATGTGCTATATAAGTACAGGCCATTCACCATTTACCACATTTCTAACAAATAAGGGTCTATCCATATGCTTAATGTTAGCCTTCTTTGTTTATTTTAAATTCAGCTTTGATGTTGCTTTGAGATCCTTGTCCTGTTGGAACACCAACCTTGTTTAACCTTTTAGCCGTTGATTAAAAGTAAAATGAAGAATGTAGATATAGTCTTCCTTCAGAGTTTAATCCACTGTGCAAAGCACCACTAGTGCTACTTGCACTGAAGCAAATCCTCAGCATTACCTGTTCATTACCGGTATTCTCTTTATTGTTTCCAAATAACTTTATCTAGGTCTGTCTGACTATGAGGATGTTTCCCTAAAGGATTAGGACAAACAGGTTTTGGGGTTTCAGCTTATTTCTTTGTTGCCAAAGTTTAACCCCCTAACGATCTTAAACTTCCTTAATTTGTGGAAGGTGATAAGTGCAGTTTCTATTTTATGATAGGCTCATGTTTTGGTATTTCATGTGTTTCTGAACAGAAGACTTCCTAAACTGATTTTCTGTCATCCGCATCTGACATGTCAAACATATCAGTCAGAGTTATACTAGAAACTGGGATATTTATCATGGAGATCAGCTCAGTTAGAAACCTACCTTGAACCTGGTCCAGAGGAAGCATGAGGTTCTTTTCTGCAGGTATATACTTCAACACGACAGTCAACTCTCCTTTGTACTGCATCGCGGAGTCGTTGCAGCTATCTACCTACACACAGATGCACAAAATACACTAAAGCACCAGAAACTGTTTGGTTTAAAAGAACAACACAGACAACAGGGTGTCCTACCCTGGGCTGCAAAGTGTACCACTCCTCTATCTGAGAGTCAAACTCCCAGGAATCAAAGGTCAGCTCCACTTCTCCCAGGAAGCTGTTGTATCCAAACCGGTCATGGTGCCACACAGAAACCTGCAGGGTTCGGGTCTCCAGCTGCGAGTGGCTGATCACGTACTGAGAAACACAGGGAAACAACAGCTTGCAACAGTGCAATAGGACAGATTTCATTCAGAAACAACAGCGGGGTTTTTCTTTAACTGACTCTCAGGTTCTCATTGAAAACAGGGTTAACGGTGTTGGGTCTGATGCTTGTCTTCCTCTTGCTCTGGCGTGATGTGTCAGGAAGCAGGTAAGTTTTCACATATCTGCCAAAAACAAAGCATATTTTTTTGGAGTTTCAAAATGTTTTCAGTTGTGATCAGATCAACTCCAAGCAATCTTACGCGTCTGTGCGCTGCCTCCTCTCATCTCCGGTTGCCAAGTTGTAACACTTTTTCACAAGGACATTCAGGGCACCAGTTTTGTAGCTGTAGCTGATGTTCAGGAGGATCTCGCCACTTACCCTGGCATTTCCGTAGTCACCGGTCTCACTGTACATGCTCATCATGCTGTTTAAGCTGCTCTGTGGGGCCAAGACAACAGACAAAATATGAGCGTTGGGGTGGTTGAAGGACGCATCCTAGTCCGGGTCATGTCATCAACACTTCAGCTTTTGGGTAATAGAGATAGAATGATTACTTATGGTACAAAATGAGGTGTGTTTGTTTTTATTGGAAAAGCAAAATAAAAAAAATAAAAAAATCTGTCTAATAATGTGAAACGAATCAAAAATAGTACCAAATATATTGCCATTTATTAACTAATCTAATCTGAAAAGTTTTCTATTTAAAGCTCCTAATATATCTAAATATGCCTAAAATAATGATCCCATCATTTACGTCTAAAAACGATAACATTAAAAGGACCAAGTGCAACTAATTTTGCTTTTTATTAGCAAAAATCAAATATTACTTTTATAAATGCATTATTCTCCAAAATCCTCATACCAGTCACATAGGAAATGGGAGCGTTTATAGCTAAGATTGAGTTGTTTTTACTATATAGGTGGAGGTGCTCCCAGTGGAACATGCTGTGTTCAGTCCCCATGTTTGGCTACGATAGAAGATAGGGGAAAAAGTTGAACACACCGGATCCGTACGACTTTTTAATCTCCGATCCAATTTTTTGGATCCGGCTAGGCCGGGTGAACAGATTCTTTTCCCCTCTGTCTCTGTGCTATACACAGATTAAAACAATATCCCACATTTGACTTGGACAGATTATGAAAAGTAAAAAAAAACAAAAAAAAAACACTGGCGCATTCTTTAAAGCAAGGCCCCACTTAACGAGTCTATACAGCATCTCAAACCAGACCAGATAGAGAATGTTTATATACATATCAAAATCATAGTGAGATCTATGTCTAAAGAAAAGAAAAAACAGCAATAAATGCCGTGGGACATTTGTCTTCCTGTCAGACCCATAAAATTTCCGCTAAATTGCTGAGTGGTCCGACTAAAATAGACCTGGGGTCTATCTCAGTCGGACCTTGACGATATAGACCAGCGTATGCCTGACGTACAAAAATCTGGCAAAAACGCTGGCATATGTTGGATAAGTTATGGGTACTTTTTGTGTAAGTTATGAGCATGCTGGTGAGTGTAATAGATCTTCCCTGCTTTCACTCCCACAGCCAGGACCAACAAACTTCCTAGCAGACAGGAAGCACCTGGACTGCACATCTTTTTATGCAGTCCAGGTGCCTCCGGGCACCTGAGGGGAGCAGCTTTACCTGATGCTTAGTAATGTCCATGAAATAATGCAAAAGCATAATTTAATGCCCATTACGCTGTGGCGTGTCATGCATAAGTTAGGCTGTTGTTGGACATAAGTTCTGTACTCGTTATGAATGCTCCATGTATTCGCCCAAAATTGAAAAAAATACATTGAAAGTTCAGCGTATGCTAGCATTTTAGAAGATTCTGCGACGTCAAGAATATGCTGTCTATATAGGCGAGGTGTGACAGTCCCCAAACCTTCAATCAGCACAACCTCGTCTGACACAATTTTCTGTCAGATCACTGTGTTCTGGCCTTTAACCATTTATTTAAACTGCTTTTGTAGAGGAGAGGTATAAAACACGTTTTCTGTTGAGATAGAGGCCCACCAATACTCATTCCTCTTTCTGGGCTAGAGTATTGGTGATTGGTTATAACCAAGAAAATAAAAAGAAGTAAGAATCGGAAGAACACGAGAGTCTACATTGGTGTAGCTTTTACTAGGAGAACACAATTATCAAGAGAACAGGGCATCAAACTGACATTAAGGTTGCAGATTTTCCCCTCTACAGGTAAGTTTATCCGATATAACAGTAAATTTGGTGTTATGTTAGAAACAGAGCAGAGTATTCCAACAACTTCTCTGTTCTCCAGGCCGAGTCGTTGAGTTTGTTTGCCTAAACTGAATAAGTTTCCTTTGCAACAGTTGCTGTTATTCTTCACATAAGTCATAACAGCATACGCTTCTTCCGAGAGATTTTCTATGCGTTTCATCATTTCTTTCAGCTGATTTATTAAAGGCGATGGGGGTTGATGTCTTTCCTCTGGTCAGAAAGAATAGACCACTGTAATATCAGTTTCTCTTCATGATTTATTCAATAGAGCTGCAAGCTTTCTAACACTAAAACATATCTCAGATAATAATTATGTCAAGACAATATGTCGCCAACCCCCCTTGATAAATCAGGTAAAAAATGAATATGAAACAAGAAAATGGCATCAATAAAAAATGAATTATGTATTGTTCTGTACCTCATCACCTGACAGGACACTTAAACCCTTAGGATGTTGACGTTGCGACATTTATGGCACTCTGCAGCTTCAGCAGCAGATATGGCAAGCTTAATGCCAAGGCACCAGAGAGGGCTTCTTTCTTATTAATTTGTAATAAATTTAGAGCATCACAAGATAGCAGTAAATTCTACAAACTGGGGCTTTAATAACGATTATTTCGGTATTCATTTTTAAATGTACATATCTTCTTATTTTCGTGTTAAAGGTCCAGGTCAGGGACCCAGAGGGAGAGTCTGAACCTCTCCAGGACACAAACGCCAACAACCACTAAGTTATGGTCCTGAAGCTGCAAAGCAGTCCCAGATCATCACACTACCACTACCATGTTTTATTATGTCAATGTCATGATTGTTTTTACGAAATGCTTAGTTTCTTTAAGCCAGATGTAAATCAAGCCAGTCTGTATAATATTTTACCCAAGGTATATTGTTAGATTAGTTAGCCTTGCCTTTTTTTTTATCAGATTTTTTAAAATAAGAGTATATTTCTCTCTAATATTTAGGAACAAGAAAAAAAAATAGGTAAAGCAAATTCTTTGTCATACCACTGTTTAACCAGAATAACCTAAGTAGTAAAAGAAAAAAAGAATATCTACAGAAAGAGTAAAAGAAATTCAAAATGGAATCACGTTAAAGCTACTGCAATTATTTTAAAATTACTTATTTTACGTTTTGCAATAAGTTAACAGGTTTTTCCTCATTTTTCCTGAGCTGCATTATCTGAGATTTAGAGGCTGTTCTCAAACCCCATTTAAAGCTAAAAGAGGAAGTATAATTTGGTTCTCTTGCACAATACGTACTTGCAAACATCATTTCACAATGAAAAGATTCACCACAATGCCCACAGCAGGTAATAAGACCAACAGCTGGTAAACTGGAGGAGATAAAACTATCTGAACCTAACAGGAATTAATCCATGCCGGTTTTTCATACTGGGAAGTTTGTTTCACTCATTTCCCACAGCTTCCAACTGTGATGATGACTTTTCCTTTAATGTGTGAAGTTTAAAAAAACATGGGAGCAAGAATGAGCACAAATATCCAGTGAGCAAAGCAGATATATGAAGGAAAATCAATTTATTAATTTTACTTAATTTATTATTGAGTGATACATGCAACATTTATGCTTCATTGCTTTGCTGCTGTATCTTTAATGTATCAGTGAAAACAAGATCATGCAGAAAGGTTAAACGAGGAGACTTACAGTCTCTGCATCCGAGTCGGGGACATTAAGGTACCCCCACCGCCTTTCTGTGCCCGGAGTGGAGGACTGGATTTACAACAAACCAAGAGGAGAGGAAAGAAAGCAAAAGGGAAGAAACAGAGGTTGATGATGCATTAGAGATGGAGCCCGAATGTGACACCAAAAATCCCCATCATATACACACCGTTACCGTGGTGATTATAAGATGAAACCACAGAGATAAATCAGCAGTGAGAAAAGCCCAAATAAACAGCAGATAAGGAGTGAAGAGAGATGTTAATGTTCGTCTTACAGCACTACCTAACATATTTGCAATAAGAAAAAATATTCTATACAAAAAAACGTGAGCCTACTGAGAAGTGTGTCCATGTACTCATGTACTGTAAAATATGTGCACTCATTACTTGATTGAGGCTCCATTGGCATGAATTATTGCGTCAAAGTGGCACTGAAGCAAAACAATGTGTTCAAGAAGGGAGAAAGCACCCGAGTTAGGATTCCTAACCATTTATGTAGGGGATTTTTATGTTGTTGTTTTTTATTTATTTCTAACTTAGAAAAAAAAAAAAAAAAAAAACATAAAAATCCGTTATATAAATGGTTCCGAATAGTGCACCACTAGTAAATTCTAAATATCCAAAGTGACAGTTTTTTTATGAAATGTTAAAACTAATTATTAATCATGCATGTTTGCACCAAGGATCTGTTCACAAAACAAATATTGGTGGCAGAAATATTCTAAAATCCTGACCAACATCTAAGTTTTGTAGAAATAATACAGCAGGAATATCTTAATAACCCAGATAGAAGCAGACCTCCGTCATGGATGTTACACACAAAGCAGGAAGCCTTCACCTTCTCAAACTATAACTGCGTCATGTTAGTTTGCTCATATGCAGGATCCTGAGTGTGGGAGGTTTAATTGACATGGCTCATCCACTGTTGGCACAGTCAACACAAAGAGAGCATGTCCTTCTCTCAGGGCATGTGTACACATAGAACAAGTCCTTGTCTGAATAGCTTGAGAGAATGTAGGACCTTCCAGAACCTATTTGTCATCTCTAAATCCGCTGTTACCATTGATGCAGCGTTGCTGAGGCCTCCGCCCCTACTGAGACTGTGTGCCGACATCAGGGCGTCTATGTCTTCTTCTGCATCATCGTCAGAGAACTCCTGCCAACGACAGCATTCAGATCAGTCGGATGAGCATGACATCTGAAGGGCTGATCAGAGCATTGCTCCGTTCATGTTCCTGCAACAAGCTGAGTGGGTGGACACTGCCGGCCCCAGCCTTCATAAATTCAATCAAACAGGCAAAGTAATTTGATTTTCACGTTTTTAAAACATAAAACCATTGCTTTTTACAGTAAACTGGTGCGCATGACTGGAAGAGTAAGTAAAGGAAGAAAAAAACAAAACAGTAAGTGTGTCTCTGAACTCCACAAACGCAAATAGATGAAGACAAAACAAAGCAGAAACTACATCTGTTTAGATGCTCTTTGAAGTGAGCTCTGATGTGAAATTAGCATTTAGACCCACAGCTGACAATTTTCAGCAAGTTCATCGGCCCACACATCCCAAGTTTAATGCGGTTACACAACACACGTAGTAACACTGCAGGTCAGGACTTAAAACAGGTTCCAATTTAATATTTACTTCTTTTTTTACTTTAGTGTGAGATTAATCTGAATTTTTGCTGTTTGGGGTAAGGTTGCTGCAAAAGTGTGATCAATGAGCAGAAGAGATGAGAAAAAGCGACAGCGCTCACCGCTTCATTGAGCCCGGGGACTGAGCGGCTTCTGAGGCTGAGGGCGTCGTCGCTGTGTTCTGATCCTGGAGCTGACAGGTCCATCTCTGAGCGGCTGTGATCTGGTGCATGGGGGGAGGAGGGAGAGTGCAGAGAGATAAAGAAAGAGAGACAGCACTCCAAACTTAGTAGATCAAATATGAAAATATTCAAGTAGAAAAAGGAAAGTTTTACAAACCTCTCCATCAAACATTGTATCTACTGATGAGAGCTTTGTTTTATTATTGATCATCAGTCTTTACTAAATGTTTTATCCGAGTCTAAAACATTTATAAATTGCTATCCTCTCATTTAAACAGTTTTCAGTTTAACACTAAAACATAAAATAAATGACAAAGTCCTGAAAGTTTTTATGAACCTTAGACATCATGAATGAACCAATGAACAAGAACATTTCAGTTTTCAGTCACAGTATCTAGTTGCTGCATTTCTTTGCTCCAGTTCCATCACATTCAAAGGATGGGTACACTGTGTTCAGGGGTGCAGATGACGAAGTAAAGGGGTGGGGTGGGAAGAGGGTTGTTCAACCAAAGAGGATAAGAAATGAATACGTGCAACAATAGAAACATTAAATAGAATAGAAAATCAATTTATTGTCCCAGAATTGGGAAAATGTGGTATTCAGCAAAAGGCTATAGAAGAAGTGGTCACACAATGTGCACCTTTGAAAATATATAAAAAAAGTTTAGAATGTAAACCAATAAATAATGCACTGTACAGTGTCATTACAATATAAATGCTCTAAATCTATTAACCCCTGGCTTAACTTTTGCACATTTCCAACATTAAAGGTATAGAGGAGGATATCTTATTTCCGGGTACATCATCAAAATAAGTGGTCGTCCTAATTGTCAATCATTCTGGTGATATTTTTTCATAAGGCCATCCTATGTGATCGTCTTTTTTTGCGCATGCGCGATTTCAGGCTTTATTTGTGGTGAGCTATGGTTTCAGACAGCTATTGAAGCTCACCTTTCTCACTGCTGTTCTTGAAAATGGCAGAGGGTCGTAAGAGAAAAAATGTCTACGAATAGTATGAGAATAAAAGAAGAAGGCGCAGGCACCGTGTGATGGAGGAGGAGTTATGTGACCAAAAGGGAGCAAAAGGCAGTGATTATCTGTCCAAATGGTCGGTTAACTGAGTTCGCTATAAAGTCCACTAAATAGTCGCCACTCTATACAGTGATTGAGGAATTTAGGGGTTAGGGCGGACATTCGGACACAGTAAATTTGTAAGAGCTATTAGAACAGCGACTTTTAAACAGAGCTTGCACGACTATAAAATTGGCTTATGCATGCTCTTGCATGCATATAATAGGCGTTCTCTCCCGGGAGTGGGTACAGGGTTGTGCAGGTGCATATATTTTTTAAAGTGGAGAGGGCGGGTCTTTTAAAAAATTCACGAAAATCTTCCACAATGCCTTTCAGCAAAACGAGAAGAAATGTATTAATGTAAGTCTAACTAGGCTTCCCAAAATTACAAAAGGATGATTTCCCAGATCTGGGAACATCAGGCAACAGGTGATAGCTAAAGCTCTGAGATAAAAAGAACTTAAGACCAATCCTACGTGATCATTGTACATTGTACCCTATTAACATGCAAAAAAACATGTATTATTTACTTAATCTGACTCACTGAGTTGAAAATGGAGCTTCTGATAAAAATTCAACAAGACCAATCCCCCCTGCCGTCACCCACCCCACCCCCACCAATTCATTCATGAGCAGCTGAGCGGATATTCTGCGCATCCCAGTGGCATCGCAACATTGCAACAGCATCCCTAGAAGATGTAGTCAAAGGGAAGAGAGAGGACACTCTCTCTTAGTGTGAACATTTTTATAATGACTATAATTGACTTAAAAATATATATATTTTAATCTATTAATGAATTCAAGACAAATTTAGCACAGAGTTTCTGCCGTTTGAATCAACCAAATGTGGCTGCCTTTTTTAATCGATCGACATGATGTCAATCAGCTGTCAGATCATATTTCTAGACACCCTGGATGCATTTTTATTCATGGACAGCTTCTGCTTTTTTTATCTGCTTAATTCTAATTTGTTTTACTTGAATAGTGAAACAAGTGAAGAAGGGACAGTTAAGTATAAGGGCACAATCACATAAATCAGATTCACATCAATTAAAATCCTCGTTATTTGTTCAATAATGTCTAAAAGCTTGAAACTGATGATGAAAACTCTAGAAGCTGTAAACATTCTCACACATTGAGACATTTAAAATGAATGACAGTCCCAGTTAAACTGAATAACAACTTTAACATTAAATTCTATGGTGTTTAGCTTTGATTGGGCTTAAACAATACATCACACTAACTGAATGTTAATTACTGAGCATCTGAGCCAAATGGGATTTTTCCTGATCTTTGCAGGGTTGCTGCTGTTTCCTTCACTTGTAGTTTTTTTTTTTTTGCCAAGCTAATTGCCCCCAGGCTCTAACTCAGTACTTAAAACACTGAATTAAAATGGATTTCCCATCAGATGACTTGGACAAAAGAGGGAAGTTGTTTTTTTCTTTTCTTTTTGAAACCACTCAATTAGTCCTTAATGCATTTCAGAGCAAAAATAGATTTTAAATTTAGTATAGACAAAGACGGGTAGAAACAAAAACTTTGACCTAAGCTGCCACCTGTTGAAATAGAACCAAGATCAGACGACTCCTGCAGAAGGACAAAAATCCTTGCTCATCAGTTGCTGTGCTCATTAAATCAAACAAAAGAAATTTGATCAGAAATAAGGATATAAAAGACCATCCTCCACACTGCATGTATCTCCTGACATCTGTGGTCATGACAGGAGATCCTTGTTAAAGAATAACGGCACTAATGAAAGTCATTTTAAAACCTTTACACACTCCAGTAAGAAGCTGGGATAAAGAAGACAAGATTATAGTAAAAAGAACAGAAGAGCAACAGTTAGAGATGAAGGAGCCAAAGCTAATGGTGTAATTTGCGCAGACGTGACATCTGCTCCCAACAGAGGGACTAATTTTATCCTTTGTAAGGTTCTGAACATGGCAAGCTGGAGACTGTCTCTCTCCGAGACAGTCTAGCATCACCTCAGAAGTGATCTGCTGCTTCTAACACTTCTTGAAACTGTTAGTCTCTTATCCAAATGTTTGCGTATGTGCCTTCAGGGCCGTGAGATGACAAGCAGGAGTCGTGCTCCATGGATGTGGGGAAAAAAACAAACTGGTTAGTGTTGTTACCCGATGACACAGAAGCGCGGGAAACAGATATGGTCGGAGTGTCTGAGTTGGTGCGATGATGTCCCGTCCCCTCCTTTTCAGACAGACACTCACTGGAGCGAACACTGGCGACGCTTTCTGCTCCGTCAGGCTGCATTCAAACCCAAACAAACAAGATGTTAAAATAAATGTTAACTGAAACTTTATGAGCTGTTTTAAGTCTGTATGGGTGTTAATGTTGCTGACCCTGACCCTCCTGTTGTTGGTGGAGTTGGGTGATTTATCTGGAGTTTGGGAACGCAGATTGTTGGGGAGCGTTGGCAATCCAGAGGACTCTAAAGCCACTGCAACACCCCTACATTACAAGAAGCAAACCATTAAAATTTCATTCTCATTGGATTTAAAAGCTCTTATCAAAGGTTTGCATAAATTCATTCAAAAACAATCAATGGCTTTGAAGATTTTTTTAACTGGTAACTTTAATTTTTAAATGGGTTGGTAATAGGTTCACAAATATGATGTTATAGTCGACTTTCTTTAAACTATATACACATGCTTCTATAAAAGTAAATATCTCTTTTAACATTGGAATAAGTAATGTAAAGTAGTCCATAACTCTAGTATAATATCTTATCTAATAAAAAAAATATATTTTATAAAATGTGCTTTCATTTTCATTCCTCCTCATGGGAGTTGACCTGAATTCAGAATGAAATTAGATCCAGGATGTAAACATGCATGGGATACAAGTTGGCAGGCACTGCCATTGCAAACAAAGAAAATAGATAAAAGGTTTGCAGCAAGTGGCATTACACGATGAGCTGGTTTGTCAGTTTTAGATCACTTTTAGATAATGCTGACTACACTTTGAACGACAGAAGGATAGGTGCATTGGTGAAGACATTTTCAAGTGTTCATTAAATAAAATCTTCATAAATGGCAAATTTTAACAATAAATTAAAATTATTTATCACAATTAATTATCATTTTATTTCACAAATTCTGACAAAAAAAGACAGTCACATTAAATCCTTACAGACCCAATATAACATTCATAATACAACGATTTATGGAAACCTCTGACCTCTTTATAAAATATAATTAAAATTATAACATTGTAGCTCTGATGTTATGTTTAACATCAGAGCTACAATGTTTAACTGATACTCCTGAACCTGATAAGTTCGACTGTATTATCAAATGTGAACTTCTAAGCACATTATTTGTATTACACCTATTAAAACACTTATTCTTTTTAAATGAGATGCCTTTTAGTTTTTTCCCTTAATCTTAGCTTCTTATCTGATTTATTGCTCTCTTCAAACTTGAATTTCAGCAGTACTGATGCAGAACTGTGGCCTGGGTCTCATCAGGCCACTAAAACAGACCAATAAGAGCGTGGTTAGCTTCTCTGGAAGGGTTTTAGCCGATATAAACTCCGTTTTCACTGGAAACATTTAAATATTCAGGAGCAAACAGCAATCTCCAAGCCATTAAACAGAGAGTTTAATGCTTGTTATTTGCTCTCGAACTCTTTCAAGATGCCTCAGATTTTAACACAGAGGCAGTATATATATCTATATCTCTATATCTCTATATCTATAGATATAGAGATATAGATAGATAGAGATATAGAGATATAGAGATATAGAGATATAGATAGATAGATAGA